TCCCTGGGGCTGGTGCTTGGACAGTGGCACAAGGAGCCAGACGCGGAGACCACCCTGTCCCTCTTCTCGCCACAAGCACAGCAGCCCTGTCCCACCAGCCACAGGTATCCTGGTCACTGCCACCACAGGGATGGCACGTCACAACTGGACACTGTCCCTCAGTCCTGGAAAAGGACGGTCCTATTTTCTCCATGACTAATTAATTGTAATTATTTCCTTATGGCGCTATCGATACAGGTGCTCGTGTAATGAGGCAGCAGTTCCTGTGTGAAATGCTGAAGCAAGGGATGTAGAACATGTTAAAAAATATTAATCTACAAATGAAAATGATTTTAATTGGATTCTGCCTTTGGGGTCAGGTCACTGCTCCATTTTCAATCAGAGTTGTCCAGTCAGCAAAGCAGCAGCACAGCCCTTTCATAGGGAAACGGCGAGTGGCTCGCAGAGGTTAATAGGAATGTTGGAAAATAAATAGGTTATTGATTGATAATAACAATAAGCTGACTCCAGTCCTACCTTGGTGACCTTCTCTCACCCAACTTAGAGAAAACTCAGTTAGCATCTAATTATGGATTGCCTCACAATCCCGCGCATTAATGAGAGTGCGGCAGCGCAGGCCCAGAGCCCACTCTCGGCAGAGGGGAGAGCCCAAATGCAATCACTCCTGGAGAAACCAGGATCCAGGAGCCCTGGGCATGGCATGGAATCACAGGATGATTTGGGTTGGAAAGCACCTTAAAGGCCATCCCATTCCACCCTCTGCTATGGGCAGGGACACCTTCCACTAGACCAGGTTGCTCTAAGCCCTGTCCAACCTGGCCTTGGACACTTCCAGGGATGGGGCAGCCACAGCTTCTCTGGGCAACCTGTGCCAGGGCCTCACCCCTCTCACAGGGAAGAATTTCTCTCTAATATCTGGTCTAAACCTACTGTCTGTCAGCCTAAAGACATTATTCTGGTGCCCAACTAAGCTGCAGCCACTGCCTTGTTCTACAAAGGTGGAAGAGAGAAGGACAGCGGCTTCACACGTGCAGAGCTCTGTAACTGAGACTTAAATTGCTTCAAGATGTGCCAGGATATCTTGCCTTCAGCTCCAGCTTCACTCATTATTCCACATATGGCTCTCTCAGCCCTGCTTGCTGCAAGAAATGGAATAGTCAGAACTACCTGGGAAACAGGAAGATTCCTGGTGGTGGGCACAGCTCTAGGGGAGGAAAGCCTTTCCTTGCTCAGAGGTGAGCAGCCAGCACAGCGGATGCCAGACAGTGGGAGAGCCAAGGGCAGGGGAGGGACTCAGGAGCAGGGGCATGAAGTGGGGATGAGCTCCCATGGCAGCAGCAGCCTCCTGCTCTCTCGAGGTTCCAGACACAGAGCTGCCCTGGACCTGCTCCCCGGCCTGGCGTCCTGCTTGCCTGCCCAGCTCTTTTGGCAGCTCCATGGCCATCATCCGGTGCTCGGGGCTTTAACAATCCCTCCGGCAAAGCCCTTCCCTCAGGGCCCCTCGGTGGCAGAGACCCCAGCGCCGCTCGCAGCCGCTCCGCGAAATGCCACGCATCCATTTCACAGAACCGCGGCGCAATTTGATGCAAATGAACAGCATTTCTCTTGCTTGTACACATTCCCTGTCAACACACGTTGAAGAGACTCACTGTGACATGTCAAAATGCTGCTCACGGCGGGGAAAATAAATACGGCGGTTTGGATGCTGCCTTCCCGCTCCGCCGGGAATGGCCGGGCAGGGGATGGAGTCGCGACCCCTCCCCGCGACAGCCGGGGGGATCTCCATCCTCCCGGACGGGAGAGGGACGGACAGGCACCGCGCCCTGCTCTGTGTGACCATCGTGTCCCAGGCAGGAATCACAGAATCAAGGAATGGTTTGGGTTGGAAGAAGGCTCATTTCGTTCCACTACCCCGTCATGGGCAGGGGCACTTTCCACTAGCCCAGGCTGCTTCAAGCCCCGTCCAGCCTGGCCTTGAACACTTCCAGGGATGGAGCCAGGGCAGGGACTTTCCTGGAGCACGAGCTCCACCTGCCGCCGCCCTCCCGGCCCGGCCCGGTACCTGCGGGTGCCCCGAGCCCCCCAGACCGGCCCCCCGCCCCCGCGGCCCCCGCCGCTGCCTCCCCGCTCCGCGCTGCTCGCGGCTTCCCCGATCGACCCCCGGGCACGGCCCCGCCGCGGGGTCTCCCGGCTGGGAGCGCGGCGTGGGGTTCGTGCCCGCACTGCACCCCGCACCCCGCGCTGCCCGCCCCGATCGCTGCCCGCGTTGGGTGGTATCACCACCGCCCCCAGGACCACGCTCCGGCGGTGCGCGGGTGGGGGGGTGATCCCCCTCCTGCGTCCCCACAGGACCGTCCACTCAGGGCCCGGGGCGTCTCTATCCCCTCCTGTCCCTCCGCCCGCCCCGGGTGGCCCCAGATGTTCAGCAACATGCCGAGGTGGCTGCGGTGAGAACCATCTGTCCTGACCACCCCGCACCCCATAGTGTGTCCCGTGGGAGCTGGGGCACCCCCTGCCCCACCCCACCCGCTTCCTTCAGCCCCCCACACCTCACAAAGACACCAGACTGCAGGGTGGTTGCACACTTGCCATGTTCACAGTAGACATTACAGGCAGCGGGGACATCCTCGGGGCTGTGGGTTCATCCTCAGGGCCGTGGTGACCTGCGGGATTCCTGCTCACACCGCTGAGGCCACCCCAGGACTCCCTGCCCCAGAGCATCCCCACGCCCCACTCCAGTGTCCAGTCCAGTCCCACCGTGGCTGTGCCCGCTCCCACCGTGCTGACGTGGGGTGAGTGTGGGGTCCTGCAGAGCAGGGGCATCCCTGGCCAGCTTGGTCTGGAGCACCCTGGGCGAGATGGTGCACCCAGGGCTGAGTGACACCTTCTGACCTCTGCCCATGTTGCTGCTGGGGTGCCCCAGGCCCACTCCTCCCTGCACCAGTGAAGTGGGAGAAACAGACAGACAGACTGACCAACTCCTCTGCCAGCTGCAGGAACTGGGGAGCAGGGGCAGGGAGCCCCAAGGTGCTGGAGCAGAGGAAAGGAGCAACCAGGCTGTTTGGGGAAGCCTCCCTGCCCTCCAGGCCTGCTCAGCTCAGCAGGGGGGAGCAGCTACCCAAAGGCACTGGTAGTCTGTCCCCACTGAGGGGTCTGTGGGCAGCATTGGCTGCCCCTGGAGGGCCACATTTGCCCAGTGCATCCCCTTAGCTATCAGGGTGACTTGTGGTCCCATGACTCCCCTCAGTGACCAGCCTGGGGAGGTCCCCCTGGGTGCAGGAGGGCTGCTCTGGAGCAGAAAGAAGGGTTATGGGGCAGGGAGGAGAGTCCCTCACAATGGTGGGCTCTGACAACCCCAGCCCAGTGCTGGTGGTGCTCCTACCTGTGCAGGAGCCCTGAACCTGCCCACCCTGTGCCCAACCTGGCTTGTCCTCCTAGCCCATTCCTGTCCCCACAGCCCTGCTTCCTCCTCTGCCCCCAGCCCACAGCAGGGCCCTGTGTCCCCCTTCCATCAAACATAGGAGCATCAGCCCAAAAACCCACCCTGGTGCCAGCCGTGTGGAGGAAGGGTAGGCACATGGTTAGTGGAATAAGGTGGAGGTTGGACAGACACGGAGCTGGGTGAGGAGGGGACCCCCATCAGCCTGAGAGCCCAGTGACACCCCAGCTGAAGGAGCAGGCTTGTGTCAGTGCAGAGCTGGGATGCCCAGGAGTAGTGGCAGCATTAGGGGGTGGACGCAGCCATCCAGGGGGACCCCACTCTGGTTCTGCCTTCCATTGAAGGCAGGAGCTGCTGTGGGGTGATGGTGACACCAGCCAGTGATAGTGACTGGGGAGACCATGGGGTTAGTGAGCATAAGGCAAAGCCAAGAAAGAGCAGCCAGAGCTGGATGCTGCCTGGATCTGTAACCCCCAGACAGAGCTGCCCTGACCCTTGGTGGGGGCAGCCCCACACTGCTGTGTCCTCACAGCAGCCATGGTCTGAGGTGTCCTCATGAGCCAGCCCATGCCCACCAGCAGCACAGGGCCACCATCCTCTGCTGGCACACAGGGCTTGGCTTTGCCCCGCTGGTCATGGCAGTCCTGAACACTGATGGTGCCTGGCCCTGGGTCACCAGCCCATGTCCAAACCTACACTGGTGGGCCAGGTCCTGGAGCCTTCACCTTGGCAGGACCCCTGAGAGGCCGGGAACATTCCTCTGACTGACAGACAAACAGAAAGCAAAGCCCAGGCTGTGCCTCCATCACAGCCTGATGGCAGAGCCCCCTCTGACACCCACTGCCCCCTCCTGCCCTTGGCTCATTACCAGCCCAGTGGTCACACACAGGTATGGTTAGTCACGCCCACGCTGCTGGCAACAGCTTCCACATGCACCAGGCACAAGATAAACTGTGGAAAGACAAAGGGAGTGAAGAGAGGAGCCCGGGAGTGTCCACGAGCCAATTCAGGGAGCAGCACAAGACCATTCCCCATGACGGGTGACGTGGGGCCCCAGGAGAGCTCCAAACTCAGGCTCTGGTGGGGCTCATGGGCAATAGCATCACTCTGTGGCTGAATCTCTCTGGGTTTGCTGGATCTTTACAGCCATTACTGGTCATTATTAATGGTTTTGTATTGTCCTACTGCCTCTCAGCCTCTTTTCCTCATTGTGCCACATGAAATTTCTTGGAAAACAGAAGGCAAATGGGGAAATTTTCAAAACCCTCCAGTAAAGGCATCTTCCTTCCCATCGCACCAAATGGGAGCCAGGGATGCTCAGCAGCACTGAAAACTGGGGTGCTGCAGGTTGATAACCAGAAGGCCAGAAGGAGCCACCGTCACTTGTCATGGCAAATAGCATCCGAGAGGCAAAGTGCAAAGAGAGTTGGTTAGTAGCAAGAGAGAAACAGGTCAGGAAGGATTAGTACAGTGCTAGCAGAAGTACAGGTTAGTAACAGAAGCAGGGCACCGGTCTGCCTTAGGACACACACACTGGAAGAGAAATGAAGAGAAAAGCAGCAATGGTTAGTTTGTTTAATTCAGTTCAGGAATGTGTTAGTAACAGAGATCTACTGGCTTAAAAAGGAACTGAAAAGCTTCTGCTGATAAAACCGTTTTAGGCTCCTAGTCAGCAACAGGCTCACGGGCAGAGCCGGGCAGGGCGTGCGAGGAGAAACCCTCTCCTCGTGCTGGCAAGGGCTGCCCAGGGCAGGGGCTGCTGGTTCCCTCTCCTGCCTGGGGCAGGGACTGCTGGTCCCCTCTCCTGCCCAGAACAGGAGCTGCTTGCATGGGCAGGGGCTGCCAGTCCTCCCTCCTGCTCACAGCTGGAGCTGGGGCTGCCTGTATAGGCAAAGTTTGATGGACACGGCCCAGTGCTGGGCAGGGGCTGCCAATCCCCTCTCCTGCCCACAGCTGGGGCTGCCCTTGCCCGTCCCTGCCTGTACAGCCTGGCACTGACACCTGGCACTTCCAAACCTCCTTTCCCAGCTTTTCTGTTCCCCTTTAAAGGCAGCACTGCTGCCACAGTTAGTGGGTGTGAGGCAGGGCTGGCTGTGAGTTAGTAGGGCATGCACTGGGGCCAGTTAGTGGGTTAGTCCGTGTGCCAGGGGCTGTGCCAGCCCCCGGTGAGGGCACAGGGTCCCAGCGGGTTAGTAGGTTAATGTCGGAGCGCAGCGGCAGCATGCAGAGCTGGGCCCAGTGAGCAGCAGGGCTCTGGCTCACAAGAGCAGGAGGCGTTTTGGGGCGTTGCTACCACATCGAGATTTGGGAAGGTGTTATTGGAGGGTTTAACCTGCATGATGTAACCTGTTCTGAGTTAAATGCTTTGCAAGGATCTGCCCCTCTCATCCAGGCCAGTGAGGTACCAAATGCCCCAAGCAGTGTGTCCCCACACAGAGTGTGCTTCCCACTCCTGGTACTGGTGAGGGTGGGAGACTGGATGCATGGAGGAGACAGTCCCAGCAGTGCAAGGCAGTGACTCAGGTCAGGGCACTAAAGGAGCTGGAAGAAGCAGAGAGGGAAGGGGTGAAAGCATCACTGACCATGCCTGGAGCAAGGCTATGGGCAGCTCTGCAAGAGCAGGGCTTCTGCAGAGAGCTGCTCTGGGTCTCCACCGAGCTCCCATTGCCTGTGAAGGGAGGAAGAGATTCAGCAGGGAAAACCATGCCATGGAGCAGAGGAAAAGTGGTCCATAGCTTACCCCTTCCCTGTCAGAAGCTGCCTCTCCATGGAGCTAAGCAGTGCTCTGAGGGGCAGTAAGAGCACTGTGCCCTGAGAAACAGGGCTGTGGTGGGGCACCCAGGGCACCCTCTGCCCCATGTCCCTCTGGGTTACCTCCTCCTGCAGCACTAACTCCTGCTGGTCCCCAAGAGGATGCTTTTCCAGCTTGGACTTCAAGGCTCTAACACCTGCCATAAGCTGTGTCTGCCCTCAGCCCCCAGCCTACCTCATTCCCAGCTCTCCCTCCTGTGCAGAGACAGGGGCTGGAGTGACTGCTCAGTGCAGCCACAGCCCAACCACTTACTGGGCCACTGCCACCCCCACAGAGATCATGGGAGGAGGATTCGCTGCCCATGTCCCTCCACACACTCCAGGCTGCTCCACAGGGCAGGGGAGACAGGGTCCTGCTGGAACACAGCACTAGCACTGCAAGGCAGTTCCAGGGCAGAAAGCACCAGGACTTCACCAACAGACAGAGGGACAGGCAGGATCAGTGGGGACAACCAGAGTCCCTTTGTGCTCTGACCATTGTGTCTCATTGAGGAGCTGGCACAGCTCCATCCCTGTAGCCTTCCTCTTCTCCCTCTCCCTACACTGCGTTCAGGGAAGGGGATGGGTCTCATCCTGCCCATGGCTGGGGTGGAGCAGCGGAAGGGAAGGGGACCCCAGCACCTTGCAGGAAAACCGCGAGCACGTGCAGACCCGTGTCCTCAGGTGTCCCCAGCGCCATGTCCTCGGCTGTGTCCCCCGCAGTGGCCGGGCTCGTGGCTGTGGCCCATGGCACTGAGCACCAGGCTGCTCTGCTGGGGCCAGCCCGGCTCTGGTATTGTGTGCAGGTGGCGATGTCGGCTCCCCGAGCCTGGCTCCTCTCCAGGCACAGCCGGTCTGGCCAGGCAGGAGCTGAGGCCGTGCCTCTGAGGTGGTGGCACTGGGGAGCAGAGATGCTGTGAGACCCTGGGCAGTGTGGCAACCACCCCCTTCCCACTGGTGAGCATTCTCTCATGCAGGTGGCCCTGGAGATGGTGTGACCCCCTGGACACCACTGGAACCTGGGCAGGAAGGCTCCTGGCTGCCCAGAGCCCTCCCAGCTTGCTAGGGGTGGGAGAGCATGGGGCTGGTACTGCCTGTGTCCCCTCCCTGGGGATCCTACCTGTGGTCACCAGCTATGCAAGTGCCGTGCAATGTCCCCCCATCCTGTGTGGCTCTGCGCTGTGGAGGCCGCGAGGGGACTGTGTGAACAGACTTCAGGTCAGTCATTAGCAGCTGCAAAAGAAACAACCAACGCAGCAAGGGAGAGACACACAGCACCATCCTCAGGCAGAGCCGAGCCAAGCTGGCAGGAGCCTGGCAGGAGGGCTGGGCAGGGATCCTCCTGTCCCTTTCTCCTTGCAGAGCGAGGAGCTAGACCCACCACCAGGCACAGGGGGGCACCAGGAACCACCGCATCAGAAATGGTGGCAATGCCCCAAACTGTCCCTACCTGGTGTGGGAACCCCTGCACTGGGGGCAGGGACTGACTTTCACTGCCACTGCCACTGCTGCCTCTGCCAGCTCTGCTCCTGCCCTGTGGTTAAGCCGGGTCACTGGGACCCTGTGGTTCTGCAGGCATCAGTTGTACTGGGGCAGCCGGCGGTCACAACTGCGCTGTGGTGGGTGCTACTCCACCTCCACAGGGATACAGGGACACGTGGCTGGTGCCAGCAGCCAGCCCATGTCTGCAGCCAGCCACACTGCCTGCCCTGTTCCTGCTTCTGCCCTGCTCCTGTTTCTGACCTGCTCGGGTTCCCGCTCCTGCTCTGCTCCTGCTCCTGCCTTTCTCCTGCTGCTGCCCTGCTCCTGCTCTGCCCTGCTCCTGTTCCTGCCCTGCCCGCCTGGAAAAGCCAGGACTGCAGCAGGTCCTGGGGGAGCTGGGCCGTGATGACTCTGCATGTTCAGCTGTGGAGCTGCTCCTGCTTCCCGCTGTTCATTGTCACCACATGCCGCAGGCACTGCTGGCAGGACAGTCCCTCCCATGGGGACAGCATGTCCAGGCAGCATTTGCAACCCAGCTGCGGGAATGAGCTCCGGAGATGCCATCGAGCATCTGGCAAATGGATCCCCTGCCTGGATCTGAGTGGGAGGTGGGATCAGAGCGGGAGGTGCCTGTGGTGAGGCAGGCGGGACATGATGGCTGTGGGATGGCCTTTCTCACCCGGGAATGAAACACATCCCAGGAGACAGGGAGGGAAAACAATTCTGTGCAGGCAGGGCTCAGCTAAACACTCTGTCTGGGGCACAGTGAGCAGTGATTGCCAGCCATGAGCCAGAGCTTCCTCTGCCACACAGGGTGGGTGGCACATACGGTGCTGCTGAGCACCTGGGTTAGACAGGGGCTAGACTCCCCCTTGGAGTGAAGAGGGAGGGACAGGAGCACAGGCTCCACAGCAGGCAGGAGCAGGGAGATAAGGCCACAGCAGGCACGGCATTTGCCATGAGCTGCCTGTGCCCAGAGGGATGATCTCTGGGATGTGGCATCTGGGCACCCCAGTCCCCCAGCTCCCAGCAGGGTGGCCAGATATCTTTGCCCTGGGCCCTGCCAGCGCTGCCTGACCCTTGCTGCCATCCAGCAGAGCCCAGGCTCTGGCACATCCCAGGCTCCCGTGCTGCTGCAGCAGTGCCAGGCACTACCACCTTTGTCTGCAGCTCTGAGGCTGGGCAGCCTGGGAGAAGGGAGGGTGAGGGTGTGAAAGGCTCCCTGAAAACCCAGAACGCCAGAAAACCTGATTATTTCTGGGCTCCTCCTGGGGCCCTGGGCAGGACCTACTCACACACACAAAAGGCTGCAAGACAATGAGGGAGAGAAAATGGCTCCGCAAGAGGAGCATCTGGCAGGTTAACTCTGAAGGAGGGGCTGTGCTGTGCCCCAGGAGTGTTGGCCCCAGCCTCGCCTCTAATCCCCACCCAGGATCCCCAGCTTTAGGAGAAAACGGGGATTAGGAGACAAAGCAGTAAACCAGCATTTTGGCTACAATTCTTCCCAGGGGCATTGAAAATCAGGCAAGAATCCATTTACCTGGCAGGAGCCCTATTCTTGGTGAGGATTCTGAAAAAAAATACAAACAAGCGGTGCAGCAATTAGTTCTGATTTGGGCCGGGGGCTGCAGGCTGTGTCCAGGGTGGGCCAGGCTGCCCGGTGCCGCCTCCGGACCGGGATCCCGCGGGATCGCCGGCCGTGCCGGGAAGCGGCCGGGAACAGGCTGCGGGATGAGCGGCTGCCCCTGCCTTAACAAAGGGAGGGGGCCCGGGCTGCCCCAGCCTGGCACCCCCGGGAAGCGGGGGCTCCTGCCGGGGCGCGAGGCTCTCATGGGATTATATATGACCAGGGAATAATATATGGGAAGGGTGGGGTGTATTTTTTGGAGACGGAGCGGCAGGAGCAGCCCCGCCTGCCGGCTCCGCACCCCCCGGAGCGATGCCCGCAGGACCCCCCGAGCCCCGGGGCGGCATCGCCCCCCCGCTCCCGCCCCGAGGTGGGGGCGGCCCGCGCCCCCAGACCCCACTGGTGCCCCACCTCCATCCGGAGGGAACGGAGCGATGTCCGCGGAGCGTTACCTGCTCCCGGGGGCCGGGTTGGGGCTGGGGGGCGCCGGCTCCGCTCGCTTCTGCCCTCCGCGCCGCTCCTTTGTGCTGGAGCTTTCCCAGAGCATCCCTGAGGAAGAGGCGGCCACGCAAACTCCTCCTCCCGCAGCCCCCGGCCCCCCCGGCCCTACCTACGGCGTAGGAGGATGCTGCAACTCGCTTTAAATTTTAATGCTGGAAATGCGGCCAAGTCACCTTCCCCCCGCAGCGCTCCCGCACTGCTCTCCGCTCCATATCGCTCCCGCATCGCTTCCAGCACTGCTCCCGCATCGCTCCCCGCACCCTTCCCGCACTTCTCTGCACCGATCCCGCTTCGGGAGACCCCGGGGACCCCTTTGCCACGACAGCCGATAGAAAGGCCACTGTCATGCCCCCTGCCAGGACACCGTCCCCCGTGGTGTCACAGGCTCCCCACAGCCCTTTGGGGTGGTGTGGGCACCCCACAGCCCTGGGGTGGCCCAGAGGACACGGGTCGCTGGGCAGGGGCTGCTGCGGGCACATCCCTGGGGCCATGGTGGGCAGGATGTGGCTGGGCTCGGTAGGGGGGATGGCAAGAGACCCAGCCCGGCCTGGGGACACAGCCTTGCCGGAGGACAGCCCCTCCATCCCGGGGACAGCCCCACTCCCGGTCAGAGGGCCGTGACAGCCCCTCCTCAGAGCTGTGCAGCTGCTGGGCTCCTGCATTGTTCTCCAGGTCCCTGCCGGGTCCCTGGGGACCCCCGATCCCACTGCCAGCTGTCCACCGTGTCTGGCTGTGTGCTGGATCCTCACCCAGCCCCCTTCCCCGCCCTGGGGCTCAGGAGCTAGGCAGGGTCGGAAGGGGGCCCAGGATGGGGGTCCCCCCCATCTTTGGCCATAGAGAGGCCAGGAAGCTCCACTCCTTGGGTCTCGCTGGCTGCTGGCCCTGGACGGGTTTGCCCTGGGGTGCAGGAGGGTTTCACTCAGCCCTTCCCAAAACTTTTTGTTTCTTCTTCTATTTTGCCTTTTTTATTGTGATTCCAGCGGATAGAATCCCTTTCTGGGCAGCATTCCCCATTCCCTCCACTGGTGGCCCTGCTACTGCAAATGTCATGGATGGGACATTTTCATCACATCAAACCTTTTCTCCAGAGCTCTTCTGAAATGAGGAATTTTTCTAGTCCAGCCTTTTCCTGCCACATTTCCAGCTTTGGCTGTGCACTGGGCATAGGGCAGTAAGGGATCAGTGCTCGGATGGGTGCAGGGGTGTGCATGAATGTGGGGATAGGTGCACAGCATGCACCTGCCACTTGCTGAGTCCTGCAGCTCCTTCCAGCCCCTGGCAGGTGCTGGTAGAGCAGATGGGGTCTACAGGGTAGTGGGATGTGGGGGTTCTGCAGAGCCACTGTGCCTGCAGCTGGGCTGGCACAGGGCTTTACCTGCCTGTGACAGGGACATGTGCTGGTTGCAGGGGCAGAAAAGATCCCACTCACCCCATCCGTGCCCCTGCAGACCCCCCACTCTGCCTCCACACATGACATCACTCCTGACCACACACCCTTATGGTCCCTCCTTCCCCAACTGCCAGTGCCGCCTTGGACAACTGAGCCTTTATTGAGCTTTGCCCCCACTGCCCCGCGGGACAGACGGTGCCCAGGGCACGTGGCTGGTGGTGCGGGGGCTCCGGCACCGCGGTCACTGCTGGACCCTGCGGATGGACTGGACCTGTCCCGTCTGTGCGTGGGAGCCCCACTCCCGCACGTGCTTGTATTCGCCCGCGGGGCTGTCGCTCTCCAGGAGGTACTGGAAGCCTCGGTACCCCGGGTACTGCGAGCAGACCCACCTGTGACAGAGCAGAGAACGGCGGTGGCTCAGGGCTGGCAGCACCATGGAGCCCCCGCGCTGCGGGTGCCAGAAGCTGCCAGAGCGTCCTCGGCCCCGCCGCGTGCCTCGGTGCTGGGTCCTGGCAGGGTGTGAGCCACCGGGTACTCACGCGCCAGAGCGGACAAGGAAGGAGCCCACGGTGCTGCTGCCCCAGCCAAGGGCGGGCAGGGAGGGGCAGTCGTCGCTCATCTCTGCCCGCTTGCCCTGGAAGTTCTCCTGCTCGAAGAGCATCAGCCGGCTGCGCCCGTGGTCCTGCGGCCAAGAGGAGCACGGTGTTGGCACGGCCGCCCTGCCCGGCTCACCTGGCCGGCCCCGCGGGGGGAGCCGGGGCGGGGGCACTCACGGCGCAGGCGATGGGGCGGAAGGAGCACATCCTCTCCACGTGGTAGGCGTTGCTGCCGCTCCACGCCTCCCAGCACGGGTAATCGCCGCGCTCCAGCACAAACTGCTGCCCCTGGAAACCGCAGTGCTCGAAGCCTGCCCACCTACCGGGGCGGGAGGGGGTTGAGACCCTCGGGGTGCCCACCGCCCCACTCACACCCAGGGCTGTGCCCGCTGCGCACAACGGGTGTCCAGAGGAGGCGGCCCCATGGCTCAGGTGGCAAAAGGCACTGGATACCTCCATCCCCCAACCCCCCTCCATCCATGGGGTCCCGCGGCACCGCGAGGTAGCAGTGCCCTGAGACCCCCACTCACGCCCCGCTCTCGATCCTGCAGGAGCGGACGGTGCTGAAGCCATGATCCAGGGTGCTGTAGCAGTCGGTGGTGAACTCATGCTTCTTGCCCTGGAAAAAAGGCTCATCCCACACCGCGATCTGGGGGGGGATTCAGGGAGTCAGGGGGCTCCAGGGGTGCGGAGGCCCTGAGTAGATGCTGCAGCCCCATTCCCAGGTGTTCACAGGGTGTGGTGCTGGTACTGCCCAGGCTCCTGTACCTTCCAGAGACCGGAGGATCTCTTGCAACGGTGGGTCATGGTGGCTCTGCCAGGGCACAGGGGAACAGGACTGTCAAAATTGCCCCTCTGGCCAGATGAAATGCCCTCAGGAGCCCACGCACATCTCTTCACTAGGAGCGTGGGGGGCAAAAAGGGGGTTGCTTCCTGCTGGAGCAGAAAAGCATGGGCTGGGGCTCTCCCTGCCCACCCAGAGCTGCTGCCTGGGCTGTGCAGAGCAGTGGGCACCTGGCCCCGGCAGCCATCCTAGCACTGCCTGCCCATGCCCGGGGAGACTCCTCCCACTGGCAGCTCCCTGAGCCAAAGCACCCGTGCATGTAGCCAGTGCAGGCAGAGGAGTGCTGAGCTGGGAGTGCTGCAGAGGTGGCCATGTGCCCACGCTGAGTATCAGCACCCTGCCACTGCCATGGCCAGCGATGACCCCTGATTCCCCAGTCTCCCAAGCCCCCAGTCCCCCAATCCACTGCCACTGCTTCCTGTGCCAAGGTGAGGTCTAACCCTAGATCTTGGATGCTCCTCCACATGTTCCCACAACTGCTTGCTCCCAGGCCCCAGCCACGGTGACAGGGCAGCTGCCCCAGGCTCCAGCGCTTACCTGGGGTGAGGCACTGGTGCCCAGGGAGGTGACACGTCCTGCAGCCTCTGGCTGGGTTTTTATAGCTTCCAGATAGAGACAGAGCCCAGGGGAGCATTACTGAAACCCCTAACTCAGCACATGGCGGGGAGGAGGGACCGGGCAGAACAAAGGAAACGTGTCAGAGACGCTGATGAGCCGGGACATCGAGCGGGCCCACCGGGCGTGGGCTCTGACCCCCGGCCCCACAGCTCCAGAGCCGGGGCATTGCCCCCCGGGTCTGCCAGCATTTCTGCAGTGTGCCCTCCCCAGCACAGGGCTGAGCTGGGGCCGTGTTCCCACTCTGGCAGTGCTCCTCCTGCCTGCAGGCAGCACTGCCTGCACTGGGGGCGCGGGGAGATTTCCTCACCCATTTCTGGGAAGTGGGAGGAAGGACACGTCTGCACTTGCTCTCCCTGGGAGGGCAGAACAGCTCTCCCTGAAATCCAGGGCAGTTCATTGCAGGGTGGGCACACAGCAGCCATGGACACTGTAACAAGTAGGGACCTAGGGCATGGGAAGTGAGGGGGGGGTTTGCAAAGGCATGTGAGGGACTGGAGGTGTAGGTCATGATTTGGGCCACTGCTGCAGCAGCCTCCTGCCTCTGTGCACTGAAAAGAGTCTGCTGCACCCGCATTTCGGGAACCTAAATACCTTTTAGCTTTACTCACCGTGACCCCCACACTGTATAAATCACCCCGGGGTGGTGTCAGGAGCGTGCCAGGGCTCCGAGGGCTGGGCAGAGGCACCCACCCAGCCTGCACCTCAGAGCAGGCAGCAGCCAATGGAGGCTGTTAGGCTAAGTGAGAAAACTCGTATTCCCAGAGAGAGCTGTGTTTTGGGACAGCATTTGCCAGGAAACTGCCAGGGGGCTGAGCTGGAGCATCCTTCGTGCAGCTGCAGCCCTGTCAGCCCTGGGCATTGCAGGGGAGGCAGAGCAGGCGAGCACAGCAGCCTGGGGGGCTCAATGCAAGCAGCCACCCCCGGCTGCACCAGGGCTGCACAGGCTGTCCAGACATCTGCAACCCCAGCAAAAGCCTTTTGGCACAATTTGTCCCCAACCTCTTACAGTGGCCTGAGCTAAACTCAGCTTGTGCTGGCCACCAGCACAGTGACCACCATGCGCTTGCTCTCCACGCCATGTCCTGGCACGGGGATGTGGCCACAGAGCTGGGCTGTGCTGAGTGTACCCACAGTGCCACTCAGCACTGGGCAGGGCTGCAGCAGCGGGAGCTCCGTGGGCAGTGGAACTCACCGGGGCAGAACAAACCCCTGTGCCCGCTCCCGTGCCCTCTGCAGCCTTGCTGTGCCAGCTCTGGCCTTGTGCTTTGCTGTTGGAGCTGCGCATCCCACAGGCACCCCCGTGCCAGGGTGGGATGGAGCAGAGAGGGGCTTTCTAAAGTACCTGCAGCCAGCAGCAGGGATGGTGCACAGGGAGCGCAGAGATTTTGTGTCTGGGGTGCTCAGGAACCACCGAGGACAGATCCCTGCTGTCAGCCCTGCCACAGCACTGGCTCAGGAAAACCATGGAGCTACTGTGTGATCAGAGTAACATGGAGCAGCACAGAACACCCATCAGGAGCAGAGCTCAGGCCCTCTGAAATGTTTTCCCAATACCCAATTTCAAAGGTGCTGGGATTTGGAAGAGGAAGCAGAGTCAGGAGCAGGGGGTGGGTGAGACCTGCTGATTAATGCCCAGGAGGCACAGGGGAGGCAGCCAGGTAGAACATCCACTCTGGCTCCCAGAGGAAGAGAGGGCAGGTTAAATTAGAAAGCC